TAATCTGTGCTCAGCAATAACATTTCCAAGAGGTGGATAACAGCATTTTAGTTCAGCTCTAATAATTCTGTTAAATCAGAGCTGGGCTTGTAATTGCTGTTTGTGGCTGAGGTTGTTCCATATGTGTGTTATGCAGGATGTTATTGTGATGAAATGTTCCCTCTGGATGCCCTCAAGAATTTGCCTTTGTTGTGGGCAGGCCTTTCCTGAGCTCTCTGCCTTTGCTCTGCCCTCACAACCAAAGGAGAGGGGGGAAAGAAGGCAAATTTCACCTTGTTTCTCTTTCTGCTGGAAGTTTTAAGTTGTGTAAGTGCCCATCTTACTTTGCTTAAGGAACACAAAGCTTTGCTTGAGTCCTGCTCCTTCCTTTGAAAGGCAAAACCTGGCAGTGTGTGCTGAGTCCAAGGGCTTACAGGAATTACACCACATGGATCCCAAAGTGAGCCAGAACAGGGAGCAAAAGTGCAGGAAAAGCCTCTTGCAGCAAGGCTCTTGTGGTGCTCTGAAGCAGCGCTTCAAACCTGCTCCCAGCCATGAGGAACAGACCTTAGAGATGCAGCAGCTCTCCAGAAATCCCGTGCTGACACACAGCACACGGGGTTCCATGAGCTCAGGCAGCTGTGGGGAGGGTTTGCTTTGGGAGCAGGGAGTGTTGGGAGGCTCCAGTAGCATCAGCTCCGGCTCAGAGCATTTCCAGTGCCATTCCCAGACCCCCAAACCCTGCAGGCAGTGACCCCTGGGCAAACAGGGACATGGAGGGGACAGCACTGACCTGCAGGGGGGTGACACTGCTTGGGGAATGGGCAGATGGAGCAGCCCTGGGAGAAGAACCTGGGGGGGCTGGTGGGGGACAGGCTGGACATGGCCCAGCCCAGAACCCCCCGTGCCCTGGGCTGATCCCACAGCGTGGGCAGAGGGGAGGGGGGGATTCTGCCCCTCTGCCCCCTCAGGTGAGACCCCCCTGCAGAGCTGCTCCAGCCCTGGGGAACAGCACAGGGAGCACATGGAGCTGCTGGAGAGAGTCCAGAGGAGGCACCAAGAGGATCAGAGGGATGGAGCAGCTCTGCTGGGAGGAAAGGCTGGGAGAGTTGGGATTGTTCAGCCTGGAGGAGAGAAGCTTTGGGGTGACCTAAGTGTGGCCTTTCAGTGGGACCTACAGGAAAAATGCAGAGAGACTGTTTGCAAGGTCCTGGAGTGACAGGACAAGGGGGAATGGCTTCAAACTGCCAGAGGGCAGAGTTAGGTGGGATACTGGGGAGAAATTCCTTCCTGTGAGGGTGGGGAGGCCCTGGCACAGGTTGCCCGGAAAAGCTGTGGCTGCCCCATCCCTGGAAGTGTCCAAGGCCAGGTTGGACGGGGCTTGGAGCAACCTGGGCTAGTGGAAGGTGACCCTGCCCATGGCAAGGGGTGGAACTGGATGAGCTTTAAGGTCCCTTCCCACCCAAACCATTCTGTGATTCCATGAAAAATCCCTGAAATCTGAAATAAAATGAACATCACTCCATGTACATGTTTTTCAAGGAATTGGGCAGTTTTTAGCTCTCTCACCATAGGGCAGAGGGTGACACAGCTTCAGCCTATAAGAGGGAGCATCTCGGACAAGTTCCAGGGGCTCCTTCCCATCCCATGAGCCAGACACCTCCATCAGCTCAGCTCAGCTTGTGGCTGAACCCTGTTTTTGGCAGAGCCCATCCCTCCCCACCAGCTCCAGAGGGACTCCCAGCAGCTGGGTGAGGACACAGGGGTGGGGGCAGAGAGGAGGGAAACAGCCCAGAGAACAAACTGGGGAAGTGTTTTGGTCTGTCTGTGCTCCCACTGCTCTGCCTGAGCTCCTGCAGCTCTGCTGGGGCTGCTGGACACGGGAATCTGGGGAAGGTCCAGGAGAGCTTCACTTCCAACGGGAAACCCCCCGGGCAGGAAGGGATTGTGGCAAAGCCTGTTTGAACAACAACACCCGGGTCTGACCCACCCACAGCCCCCCAGGCACCTCTGAAATCCAGCATTTTGTGAAGGCCAGAGGAACGATCACAAGTGAGCAGGAATAAAAAACCACAGAAAGCAAAAGTAGCATCCTGCAATTTCTCCATAAAATGGGAAAAGTCCTGCTCCTTGAAGTCTGCAAATTCAAGTTTCTCCTGGGAAAACCTCCCTCCTGTTCAAATGCTAATGGCTTGTTATCACAGGGTTGTTTTAATTTAACTACAATGTTCTATAAGCAGGGGAAGAGCAAGGTTCAGAGAGCAAATGGCTGATGAACAATCTTCAATCTGCCAGTAAATGTTTGCTTTTTTTAATATACTTCCCCTTCTTGATCTCTGTTTTAAACAGCTTCTCCAAAGGGACATATAAAAGACAGCTGATTTCAGCTGGAGGTAAAAACACTTATTTGTGTGGTTCTTTGATCCTTGTTTAAAATAGGGAATTTATGGCACTTCTGGAGTGCCAGTTGCCAGAGTGTCTGGTCCTGAGAGCACAGAAATTGTTGGTATATGAGCAAAAATTGGCTTACTGGAAAGAAAAAATGCAGCACATTTTAGAAAATGATAGAGAAAATGAAATCAAATTGGGCATTGCAGCCACAAACCATCTCTGCTTCCCAGGAGCAGGAAAACCATCTCATGGAGCACAAATAAATTCCAGGGACTCAGAGGCAAAGGTCTGCCACCCTTTTCCAGGAATGCAGCAGCCAGAGCTTATAAGAGCAAGGGAGGAAAAAGAGAGAAAGAGCCTGTGATCTTTCCCATGGAATTAGAAAATCCTTGTTTCCTTTTTTCTTCCCAGCCAATTGCTGGGTGGATGCCTCCAAATGTGAAGGGTTTTGCTACCACCTTGCAACTGTAAGAATAAAACTGTCCTCTGTTAACCCTCCCAAACCTAGAGAAACAATTTCTATGTGTTTTGAGGAGTTTACAGGAGCACTTGGCTGACCTTGACCAGAAAAAATCCATGTGGGAAGGGAGTGGGAAGCTTTTTCTATTAGACAGGAATAACATAGTCAGAAGTCTCAGCAGCTCCTGCCTGCCTTGTGTGAGCTCCTCTGGGGCTCTTCAGCACATTCCTGGGGTGGCAGAGCCTGTGCCAGGCTGCCCTGGCCAGGGAGCTCCTGGGGAGGGGATTTGGGGGCAGAACAGGGGGACTCAGGTGAGACCCCCCTGCAGAGCTGCTCCAGCCCTGGGGAACAGCACAGGGAGCACATGGAGCTGCTGGAGAGAGTCCAGAGGAGGCACCAAAATGATCAGAGGGATGGAGCAGCTCTGCTGGGAGGAAAGGCTGGGAGAGTTGGGATTGCTCAGCCTGGAGGAGAGAAGCTTTGGGGTCACCTAATTGTGACCTTCCAGGGCCTGAAGGGACCAACAGAAAACATGAAGAGAGATTATTTCCAAGGTCCTGGAGTGACAGGACAAGGGAGAATGGCTTCCCACTGACAGAGAGTAGGTTTAGGTGGGATATTAAGAAGAAATTCCTTCCTGTGAGGGTAGGGAGGCCCTGGCACAGGTTGCCCAGAGAAGCTGTGGCTGCCCCATCCCTGGAAGTGTCCAAGGCCAGGTTGGACGGGGCTTGGAGCAACCTGGGCTAGTGGAAGGTGTCCCTGCCCATTGCAGGGGTGGGACTGGATGAGCTTTAAGGTCCCTTCCAACCCAAACCATTCCATGGTTCTGTGACATCTGAGGACCTTGGGGAGTGGTTGGGGTGCTCACCCTCAGATGGTTCATATGCAGGGTGGACTCTGCTGACAGGAGGAATGACCTGCAAAACCAGCACTAACTGCTGGGTACTGGGCTGAGAGTGACTGGCTAAGAGGAAAAGAGACAAACTTTTCAGACTGAGTAGGTTCCAAAGTCTTTGTCCTATTAGTGTTGCCAGAGAGTCTGAAAACGGATAAGAACCAACAGCACGTGGTCTCAATCTTTGAAAAATAGGGCTGTAACATCTGTACATGGCCCCAGGATATTCCCAGCTGGATCCCTGCTGCCCACTTGTCCCTGCCCACAGCTCTCCTGCTCCAGCACCAGGCTCTGGACCATCAGCCCCTCCAGGCCCCTTGGCTCTGAGCAGTGATACATCACAGCTTGGGCAGAAAGTCATGGAGAAGTGGAGATTTTCCAGGGATTGAGCTGCATTCCTGGCCCCTGAGGCCACCTTCCTTCCCTCCCCCTGCACCTATCTTATCTCTGCCTCTCTCTGAAATAAAAGGAATAGAAAAATTAACAACATGAAAAAGGGAGGAGATGATAAAGAGTATCTGAAAAATTATCTCTGTCCTCATTTCAGAGCTTTGCATGGTAACAGGGAGGCAGGAGGCTTTTTTCTTTATTAATGTATTAAAATATTAAAAGGCTGGGTGTCTCTTGAACCTACTCTGTTGTCAGGGGATGAGAAAGCTCCAAAGAAGTCTTTTGAGAAGGCTGTTGCAGTTGAGGAACTATCCAGGGATGCCACTCTTGGACCAGAGCAAACCAAAGCTAAAGGACAAAGTTTGCTGTCCTGCTGTTCCTGGGGATGTGGGGGGACAGGGGGACATTGGCACCTTTGCTTTTGTGCTGAGACAAAAGCTCTGCCAGCAGGAATCCTGTCAGGAGTGTGGCTGGAATGAGAGGGGTTCAAAGTCAAAAATCTCTTCTGAATTCCTTCAGCTCCTTAGTCCTGAAGGTCTGAGTGAGACCAGCCCCAAACCTCAAGCTGAGCCCGTGATGAGCCGATTTCCCCAGGATTGGGGGGTTTGCTTTGGCACATCAGTGGTTCCCCTCTCAGATTCTGTTCTTGCCTTGGCAATCATCCAGATGTGCAGTTGTTCTCCATAAATCTTTGCCAGTAAAGCAATGCTGCTGTAGCTGTTGTGTTCTGTGAGACCCTCAGGTTGGGATTAATAGTGTAACACGTGGTGGGGTCTTGGTGCTCGTCTATGAGGGTGGCAGCAGGGCTGTATAGCACATATATAGACATAAATATCCACACAGGCACACTGAATAAAGCTGATTTTGTTTTCTTTTCCTTGGCAGGTCACTATGGAAAAGATATTTACCGAAGTGGAGGCCCAGATCTCCATAATTTCATCTCCTCCGGGTTTGTCACATTAGGAAGAGGACACACGAAGGGTACAGTGGAAACCATTTTTTGCTAAATCAAAAGATTGTTTTAAATAAAAAGCTCTAACTCAGCAGTGGGTTCTAAGTGCCCTGAGAGAACAGTGTTGGACTGCAGGCAGTGGGTTTAGTCCAGGAAATATTGCTGCAGGTAAAATACTGTGCTCAGGCAGAACCTTTGAAATCCTTGCAGGGGAGGTGGTGGGGGAGCGTAGAGTCAGACAAATTCCAGATTCCAGATTCCAGACTCTGCCTGTGCAGTTGGACTGTTCATACAGCTTTGTGTTTTCCTGGGTGCATGGTTGCAAACCCCCCTCATTCCTGTCCTCCCAGAGGAAGGGAAGGGATGTACAGCTGGCCCAGGCAGGCAGTGACCACTTCCAGAGGGTCTCTCTGGAGTTCTTTTGTTTGACTTCTGGGCTTTTATTTTATTTTTTTTCTGGGGGGGCTGAGGGGTGTATGATGAATATTTTATAAAATTCTTTCCTTTTTAGCTCCTGAAACATATATTTTATGTGTTCCTATAACCTGTGATATAATGTACAAACAGGAAAACACAAAAGTATACATATACTGCTCTGTGTATGTTCTGTGTATATGTACTGTATATAAAATATATGTTGAGAGCCAGCTGGAGCTCTATAAGACAAGTAACCACCTATCCCAGGAGTCCTGGTGACACCAAAGCTGTGAGCTCTGACCCAGCTGGGCACCAGAACCCCCAATGAATGTTCATTTGATGACCTTGTTGCCTATTTTGGTGAGTTTTTGGAGTGTACAGTGAGACTGTGTTTGGAGCATCTTTCTGTGCCCCCTCCCCTGCCCCAGCCACCCTGGCAGTGCCACTGGGCTGTGCCACTGGGGGTGCATGTGCCAGTCCCTGTCTGGTTTTGTGTCCTCCTGACCTCGAGACTGTTGTACCTCCCTGTAGACACAATGTATGTGGAGATTCCTCTATAGACCAATGTACTGTATGTGGAGATGTGTCCTCGTGCTCACCTGGTTGAACGCTCCTGTGTTGTTCCTGTGGATGACATGACTCACAAATTATTAAAAGACCTTGGTTTTTACATTTCCTGCACTTTTTCCAGCTCTCCACGAGTGTCATCCGCAGTAGTGTTGGTCCTGTAGCACTGTCAGAGAAGAAACAAATCTATGTATATTTGTCTGTGTATGTCTGTGTGTGCTTAAATAAAGTTTACTGAGGCTGAGGCAGCACCCGTGGGACTTGTAATCCAATACCCTGCAATTCCAGTCTGGCTCTGCTCTGGGGGAAGGGGAGCAGAGGAACCACCTCCAAACCCCAGCTGGGCTGGGAACTGCAATGGTTCCAGGAAGGACATTTACACAAGGTGTCCCTTTCTCCAGCCCACCCAAGAGGAGTTTTACAGTCATGTCATGTCACATCAGAAGGGTATTTAGAGTGAGACAGCAAGAGAACCCCAGGAGAGATGGTCCACAGGGTGGAGTGTCCTGATAACCTTTGCCAAGCACAAGGATAACCCCCAGCAGGGCCATGTTCCTGCCTCTGTCCCAGACATCGGGATTATCTCCCAGCAGTTTTCTGGACAATGTGGTTTCCCTGGTTCCTTCCCACACCAGAACAAAACCTGCTTTCCCTCTTGACTGACAGGGGCTCAGGGCTCTGCTTTCCTGTGGATGGGCTCGTGGTTTTCACACCTGGAAGCCCCACAGAGCACATTTCCCATCCCTGGGAAGGTGGAAGAGTGGGCAGGGGGAGTCCAGACTGTCCATCCACCACAACAGCCCCCAGCCAGGGGGGGTAGGGGGGAGGCTTTCCAAAGTTTGTTTTCTGAAGAAATCAAACTCCACCTTGGCTGTTTATGGACAAACCAGAATGGAATGGCCTTAGAATTTGCTTTTCAGCTACCTATAAAACCACATTTTATTTAAACAGTATTATAATGTTAATTTCTAATTTTTTTAATGGCAGATTCACACTCCCACTCATGAGTGGTGCAAGTGCTGAACATCTCCACACGTACTGCAGGCAAACTGCCTGGTTTGCTTGTGCAAATGTGTAGGTTTGTCTTTGTCTGTGACATGATTTGTGTGTTTGTGCTGTGAAAGCAGGGACTTGGGGGGAGCAAGTAACTGAGGGGCTCTATTGTTACGATTGTGTCTGATATAATTGATTATTTCTGGAAATATTGAAAGATTTCCTGTGTTCAGTTTGAACTGACAGCAGTTCACCTGGGCAGGAGAGATGAGTGCTACAGCAAGGGTTAGTCCTGAGCTTTAGCTGAGCAGCTTCATGCTCAGGTTTTGTCTTATTTGGCTCATGGCAGCTGAAGTGGAGATTTTAACACATGGACTGGAACAGAAATAACCCCACCCTGCCTTGTTGTTACACCAAAGAGTTCTACTTTTAGACTGAACAAAGCCAGTGAAGTTTATCTCAATATTTCTTTGCACTGGGAGACACATTTTTGGTGTTTTCTCAACTGTCTTTTGTGCTGTGGCAGAACTCCAAGTGCTGAGTAATATTTAAGAGCTAATCTATTTTGGGCAGAAGACAAAGATGTGAGACATGCCAAACTACCATGGAGACCAAATCAGCACATCCACATGTCTGACATGCACAGGCTCCTGCAGGATTGTGATTTATGGTTCCTCTGTGACATGTCAGTGGGCAATGCATCACTGCCTGGCATTTAAAGGCTGTAAAGTCATTACAGGGGGTGTTCTTCAAACCGTGGGGAAAGACTTTGCTGTCAGTGTGTCGTGATGATCTAGGGATGAATCCAAACTCTTCAGGCCATAAAGGTGCCCATGGTGAGGCACATGGCAGGGTTAACCTCATATCACATCAGGTAGAGGTTGGATGTTTTATTCTGAGGTAGAACCTTCAGTTCCATGTGGAGACACCTGGGAGACACAAGCACCTCTAAAGGAGCATTCGCTGGATGGCACAAGGCAACTCTTCCCCCCTCTAGCAAGAGGGAGCTGTGGGGGTCTTTTAGCCCTCAGGGGAAGGCAGATGGATCCCACCTGCCCTATTTGTGTGGGAGCAGCTCCTGCTGCTCCAAGTGCTGTGGGAGTTGCTGAGAGTTCAGTGCTCCAGTGGCACGAACAGGAGCACAGGAGACAGGAGTTATCACATCCCTCTGATTTAAAACCAGCTTCTTCAACCTTTTCTGAGCACATTGATACTCTCAGGTGCCCCAGGCTGGGACTGCCCTGAGCTAGACTGTGCTCACAGAGGTGCCAGGGCTCCTCAGAGCTCTGCCCAGTTCCCCAGGCTGCAGTAGGTTACACAGCTGCTACAACAGGGAGCAGGCACCCACAGGTACCCCCAACCACAGGGAGGGAAACAAGCTTGAGGAGCAGTAAATTCACTCCAGACCGATTATTTCACACCATGATTGCTGAGTTTTCAGGTAAAAATGTGATTTTTATTTTGGTTTTTGTTTCACCATCAGTCTCAGACCTTGAAAATAGTTTCCAAGTGGGATTGGGCTCCTTGTGTTCCACCAGTCTGGGACAGCAGCAGGAATTCTGTGGAGCAGATGATAATGTTGGTTCATCACTGAACAGCTTCTTTGCTTTCCTGGTAACTCTGCAACAGTGTTAAAAATAGTGAGGTTATTTGGTGGGAAAAGCATAATTTCCCAGCTGAACCCAGTGCAAGGGGTCAGGGAACAGTGAGGGAGGAGGGGTTTGGGGGGTCAGACCCTCCTGCTGTGGGATCATCTCGTAGGGAACTTTCCCTACAACCTCCTTGAGGAGGTTGGAACTTGAAAAGCAGGTGTTGAAAACAAGGAGAGTCAAGTGTCCCCAGTGTCCTCAGTGCCCTCAGTGCCCTCAGTGCTCTCAGTGCCCTCAGTGTCCTCAGTGCCCTCAGCCTGTCCAGTAACTCTTCCAGAAATGTTTCGGATCCAGGCTGTTCCTGGAGTCATTTTGAGATGTGCTCTCAGTCAGGGCATTGCAGGAGGCTCTTCTTTGAGTATCCCACTGAAATGTGCTCTGAGGATGTTCTCCTGCAGTGCCATAGACAGGAAAAAACAATAACTGAGCCAGGACTCCAAGGCTGGAACCCCGGGCCAGTGCTCAGCTCTGCAGTGTGGGCAGGGTGAGAACAGTGCTGGGCAGGGGAGCCCTGGTGACTGAGCCCCAGGAGCTCCCCACAGTGCATTTTGTCTGTGCAGATGTGGCAGATTTACAGCTGAATGTGAGATTTGCCTGCTGGGCCTCCGTTCTTTCTGTCCTGCAGGTTGGTTGCACCTCACCATGGGCACAGGGCTCGGGGCACTCTGGGGATGGCACAGCCCTGCCAGGGAGGTCCAGCTGTGCCTGGTGTGTGGGAACATGGTGTGTGTCCTTTAGCAGGGCCTTACACCCAACAGATATCACTCCTCAGATACTTTGGCACCTGATAAATATCCAACTCCCTGAGTTTGTGCATATTTAAAGGAGCAAATCGTTCTTGATCTGATCCCGCCTTGGAAAATGCTCCCCCTCCTCTGCCAGCCCCTGTGCAAGAGGACACACAGAGCCTGTAATTCATGGTACCAGAGCAGGGGCAGGTGGTGACCTCGTGGGTTTGAGGTTTGGAAGCTGCAGCATTTGGGAGGGGGCACGAGGCAGTGTCAGGGAGGGAGGGGGAGCTGAGGGGTGGGGCAGCAGCTGAGTCTCCTTCTGTGTGTTCAGTGGGCTCTGACAGGCTGAGGGAGCCCTCTGTCAGGGTGGGAGTGGGGCTTTAGACCAAGTTAATTAGAGAAACCCTCCTGTTGACTCACAAGGTACAGAAAGGACCCCCTGCTCAGAGAGGAGCCTGGGGGTGGCTGCATCCAATCTCAGCCTCAGGCTTTGTCAACAGTTTAAGTACAACTTTGTCCTGCAGGGTTAAAAGTGGCAAACTGGGTATAGTTATATAAAATTAATTATTATGACAAATGATGAGTCAAAAGATCTTATTCAGAATTATTTCCTACACAGCATAGAAGCTAAAACTACTGGTATAGTATAGGATAGGGTAATGCACTATATCA